ATTTATTAAATAATTAACAACTCGATAAAAAAGTAATTTTTACCAATTAAAAAACTTTAAAAAAAGAAAATGAATAAAAAAAAAAAAATATTCATAAACGATTCGATATTCCAATCACCAAAGATCTACAACGCGAGACAGGTGAGAGGGTCAATGGCACAGCCAAGAAATGTCAGAAGATCGCAATAAAAGCATTACAGCTATGATTTAATCTCGAAGCTAGGCGCAACAATTGATTTTTTTACCCATGAAACCATCAATCATCTATTATTTTCATTTTTTTCTCTTTATTGTTACAATTTATAATTCACGGTCAAATTTACCGGACAAAGTTTAACTTAACCGAATTTATCTGGGATTCCCGTTGCCAAAAAAAACGCGCCCGTTATTATAATAATTATTTAAACAAAAACTTTTCCGCTTTTGATTGACAGCTCATCGTAATTACCCGATGAATTTATTTATAAAATTCGGCTTATATTAAACCAGAATCTTTATTTGAAGATGTTAATTCAGTCCCGCAGCCGGATTAAGAAATAAATGCTGCGATTTGCCAATGGGACAGAACGCAAAAGGAGAGATCAGTGTGCGATTGCGCAATTTTCCTGTCGAGTAATGACTCCACTTGTGTGTAGTCAGTATATAAATATATATTAAATAGTAAGTTTTAGTTGCAGTAACATTAAAATTACATCTTTAATCTCAACTGCAGGTAGGGAATTTTATTTTACAAGTCCAGATTTGAAACTCGAGTTAGCTGGACACTATTTTGATTATGATTATGGCCACGAGCAATGAGTGTGTTACGGATAACGAGTAGAGCGACATCTTATGCAACGACTGACCCAATTTTGGTTTTATTTTCTCCAGGACATTATCCTGAGCGATAAAATATTTGGGTCAAGATCTCGGAGGATTTATATTGTTTTTTTGTATTCAATAATTTTATTTTACGACAAATTATTACTCAATTTATTCATGAATGAAAAGTACTTAACGCAATTGATAGCTGATATTATAAGTCTGTGAATATTTTTATTATTTATTTAATAAAATTGTTAATTGACGTGTAATGGACCGAAGTAGGATGTGAGAATGGGAATCAAGTGCGCTAGTAGGTCATCGCGGTATAACAGCAACTATTATCTGATGCGTCTGCTTTTGACTCTAAAATAACCGTAGGCTTATTGATATCCAGTGCAAAAATAAACAAGTAACGGGTTCTGCGGTCCGAAATTTTTATTCAATTTTTTATTATCACTTCGTGGGTTTTTATTAATTACTTTGGTAAAAAAATTTTAGTAGAATATAAAATACAAGAGGATTGGTATATTGAAATTTTTTTGGAGTTTAAATTATTATTTCGGCTAAAGAATGCGAGATATCGAAAAATTGATGTTCCTTATTGAAAGGCGATTTAATTCTCTACAAAAAAAGTCTCTTAAGATTTTTTTCTCAAAAATTTAAGCTAGAAATTGAAATTTAAACATTTCTTCTTTGAAAAAAAATATTGAAAATTTTATTAAAAAATTTTTTGGAGTTTAAATTAAAATTTTGGTGAAAGGATGCGAGATATTGAAAATTTATAAGGATCTATTGAAAGGAAATTTAACTCTCTACAAAAAAGGTCTCTAATGATTTTTTTCTCCAAAATTTGAGCCAAAAATTGAAATTTAAACTTTTCTTGTTTTAAAAAAAATATTAAAAATTTTTTTGGAGTTTAAATTAAAATTTTGGCAAAAGAATGCAAGGTATTGAAAATTTGGAAGGACCTTATTGAAAGGAAATTTAATTCTCTATAAAAAAGGTCCTGTAATTTTTTGGTATCTCCAAAATTTGAGCTAAAAATAGAAATTTAAATTTTCCTTCTTTCAAAAAAGATATTGAAAATTTTATCAAAAATTTTTTTGGGAGTTTAAATTAAAATTTTGAAGAAAGGATGTGAGATATTGAAAATTTGTAAGGACTTTATTGAAAGGAAATTAAATTTCCTACAAAGTCTTATGATTTTTTTGTATCTCAAAAATTTGAGCCAGAAATTATAATTAAAATTTTCCTTCTTTAAAAAAAAACATTGAAAATTTTATTAAAAATTTTTTTGAAGTTTAAATTAAAATTTTGGCAAAAGGTCGCGAGATTTAGAAAAATTTATCAGAACCTTGTCGATAGGAAATTAAAGTTCCTACAAAAAAGGTCTCTTATGATTTTTTCATATCTCCAAAATTCTGGCTTAAATTTTTTTCAAAAACAAGATCAATAATAACTATAAATTATAACATTTATAAAAAGTTTGAAGCTTCAAGATCACTCCAAAAAAATATAAATAATTCCAACTAATTATTATTTTCTATACGGATAACCTATTACCGTTCGTCCTTAAAAAATATATAATTTTCTTAAAATAATTAACACACGCTTTCTCGTAACTATTACGTTTTCTAATCTAACTTTCTTCCTAATCACTCCGGCAAATCGATGCAATTTACCTTTATAGTTCGCACGAAAAAAAAAAAATAAAATTCTTCAACTGATTTTAAAATAAATAAAATAAAAATCCTCATTCCTCTGAATTATAAAGAACTGCTGTAACTTGTTTTACTTGGTTTTTAAATTACGTCATAAATTATTATATATTACGTATACTTTTGCTTTCATCTTCAATGTCACTACCCAGAATATTAGTGCGTTAGTCACTATAATTAAATTATTAATTATTGTTTTTTATTTTTACTCCATTATTTATTTTATTTTGAGTCGTTGACATCCAAATTTCCCGGAACAAACTTCAAGGTCCCTAATTATCTTTGCTGCTTCTAATATTACAAATTTAAATTATAAATTAGACGTAAGCATCAACGATTTAAGTTTAATAATATTGGACTCTAAATTATCAAGCAAATATATATATATATATATAGAAGCAAGTATACGTTTGATCAAAATTACTTATGTTTCTTTATCGTGCACGTACGGAGTTTAAGTTGAGAAAATTATACCTTTGATTTCTCAGAGTTATTTCCTCAACATTTCTCCGTAAGTTTCCGGTGTATCTCAATAGAAAAAAAAAATTATATTAAATTTTTTTATTTAAGTACTAGAGCAAATTATATATTTATTTTTTGATATTAAAAAATTTTTTTAATTATATATATCACTAATTTTGAATTTCTGTAAGAACAAGAAATAATAAAATATAAATTTATTTAAGAACGTGGGCTTTAAATTATTAAAGATAAATAAATATAACTTTTTATGCAAATAAGCTATAGAATCGCAGGAATAATGTAGTAATAGTTGAAAGTTCAAACGATTTCGTAATGAAAAAAATAAATAAAAAGCTAAGTGACATCTCTTTTTCTTTTGTCGTCGTTATTACATTGAAATTATAGATAATAAACGAGTGTCGAATCTCAATAACTCATGAATGGTTGGCTTCTATTGCTAAAGTCTTCTAACGTTCTACAAATAAAACTATTTAATATGTTGAGGACGATTACTATTACCCTTCTCTTTTAATATTATTAATATATTTTTTTAAATTATTATTAAGAAATAAAATACTAGTTTATTTGAATTTTAAATATTCAAAATTCTGGGTGAAATATTGAAAATATAAAAAAATCATATCAGACCTTTTTTATAGAGAATTTATTTTCCTACGAAAAAAGTGTGTCAATTTTGCCCTATCTCCCTTTCTTTTTAAAAAATTTGAATTTAAAGGTCAAAAACTAAAGTTATACACAGAAAAAAGGTTCACTTGAACCAAGAAAATATTTTTCTTCCTAATTATTTTCTTGAGCGAAAAACAATTTTTTTTTGACAAGAAATTTCACTTATTCTAACAAAATTAATTCTCTTGCTTTGAGAAATACGTATGTTGATCCAAGAAAATTTATTTAAGTCAAAAAAATCTTGTTTTGAGAAAATTCAGCCTCTTGCGCCAAAAAATTTAGTTCTTGATGAAAGTAAATTTTCTTGTCTTGAGAAAATTTTTCTCTTGTTCCAAAAAATTAAATATAAAGATAGAAGTAAATTTTCATTAATGTTTTTGTTGATTAACATGTCAATTGGGAAGATCAAATAATATTGAATCATTTTTTTTTATTTAATATGTATAATTGCATGGTAAAATAATATAAAATAGGTATCAAATATTCAAGAGAAAAATTTTCTCAAGGTGAGAAAATTTTTTTCTTAACTAAAGTAGGTGGCGCTGCTTTTCTAAAGTATCTAAAAATCTTGATCGAATATAAAAATTTATTGTATCAAGTATTTATGATAATTTGAATTAAGAAAAAATTACTTCCACCAAGAATAGAATTTTAAGAAAAATTTTTACTTAGGCCAACACAAACTCGGTCTTCCTTCAGGCCCCCGAAAATTTTTTTAATATTATTAATGTATTTTTTAAAATTATTATTAGGAAATAAAAAAAAACTAGTTTATTTGAGTTTTAAAAATTCAAACTTCGATTTGAAATTCCGGGTGGAATATTGAAAATATAAAAAAATCATTTCAGACTATTTTTTTATAGAGAATTTAATTTCCTACAAAAAAAGGTCAGTCAATTTGGCCCTATCTCGCTCCCTTTTTCCAAAATTGGAATTAAAAATTTAAAAACTAAAATTATAGCATCAATAATATTTTCAAAAGTTTAAAGTACTTCTTGTGGCTAACATATTGAAGATATAAAAAAATGATGAGACTTTTTTTGTAGAGGAATTAATGTCCTATCCATAAAATTCACCGAAATTTTAATTTAAATCCCAAAAAAGTTTTTAATAAAATTCTTTAAATTTTTTTTGAAAGAAGAAAAAAAATTTATATGATATTAATATACAAACAATAACAATTATCATTAATACTAAGTATCATTTTTCATTCGAGAGTATGTTAGTATTTTGCAACGGTCATTAATTGTATAAATGTGTGCCATAAAGAAACATTAAACGTTATTTAGTACATAAAACATAAACTTAATTTTAATTTTTTGCTTACAGGTAGAATAGCCGCTATTCTATTCGGGCTTCTGGCGTTGGCAATCGGTATTATTCTCAGTAGTATACCTTGGGTTGATTACGTTATTTTAAGAGTAAGTATATATTATTAACTGATAAAATTTTTTTCCCTCATAATTTTAAAGTTTACGACTCCGTTTAATTTAATTATCCTTAAATTGTTTAAAATTCATCAAAAAAATTGTTATTTTCAATAAAAAAAAAATTTTCCATTTAAAATAACAATTATTATTAATTGTGTAAATATTTCATAAAAAATGTGAATCAATTGAAATAAGTAACAATCACAATAGTCAATAAATAAACTATAATCAACCGTAAGATAATTATCAATCAACAAACACTGATAAATAAATCAGTGAAAGGATATTTAGACTATGATTTATAGTTTAGATTTATTACGATATATAATAATATTCCTATAACATTTGTTCACCGGAACTTTCACATTGCATATGATAAAAAAATATATTTTATCTCTTATGAAATTAGTCATTATTGTTTCGATAGGATTTCAATTTTTTAATATCGCGAAATCAGTAGCGGGATGACGCTAATGTCGGTAATTTATTTAATTAAGATGAGGTAATTATTTAACGAGGTGATTTTGATTTGTTACAGCAATTAAGGCTATGGAATGGCTCACTTTCGTTTCAATATTGGCAGAAACCCGGAGTTGTTAGACTTACCAAAGTTTATATATTCAATGTTACGAATGCTGATACCTTTTTAAGTTTAAATGAAAAACCAAAACTTCAAGAAGTCGGACCATTTGTTTATAGGTAAGTTATTTTTTTTTTTTATTAATTAACTTATTTTTTAGTAGATTTCATAGAAATCTAACTATTGCATTGATCCTCATGACGGAACTTTTGAAAAATTTTGTTTTATTTCGACTCAGCTCTTCAAGCGGATTCAGAAAATGCATATACTGAGAAAAAAAATACTTTTACTCAATTAACAATTTCTTGGTTCAAGAAATTCGATGGTGATCAAATATTCTATTATTATTAATTATTGATTTCTGAAGAAAAGAGCATCAATATTTATCTTTGAATAGTAGATAAACAAGAGAATAGCTTTATTTAAATTAAGTAAAAATTATTTCAATCAATTTAATAAGTTCTTGAACTAAGAATATATATTCTTGAAAATTTTCAAGAGCATGAATTCTTGTCAAGAAAATTTTTTTAATAAACGTATTTTTTTTTTCTCAGTGTATGGTTTAAAAGTTTATGTATATATGCATACGATATAAACGGCTTTGTCTCTTCTCTAACTTCCGCAATTCTATACGGATCGATCTCAATAAAACGTCACATACTTATTCTTAGGACGATTTCCAAGGTTAAGTTCGAAGATGAGCTAAATCGGTCGATTAGTTTAAAAATGAGAGCAATTCAAAAATTTTCACTTCTACTGTTTTTCAGCGCAATAACAATTAAACGCAATATCCTATTAAATTTCTATAAATGGCATGTGAAAGCTTGATAAATAAGCTTTTATTTAGTTGTTTATTTTTTTTTTCCTAAATTAAATAGTTTAGGAATGACAGCAATTCAAAAATTTTCAAAAATCTCCAAAATCATCGCTTTTACTCATTTTTCGCACAATACCATCTTCACGCAATATCCTATTAAATTTCTGTAAATTGTATCTGAAAGCTTATGAAATAAGCTTTAATTTGCATACTTTTTTTTTCATTTTCTTTTAATTAAATAGTAGACAGAAAAAAAAAATTTACTTGAATCAAGTAAATAATTTTGAAGAATTTTATCTTCTTGATTTGAGTAGAAACATTCTTTATCTAAAAAATTTTTCTTGGTTTAAGTAAATTTTACTTAATTGAAGAATTTTTCGCCTCGATTCAAGACAGTGAAACTCTTCAAAATTATTTTCTTGATTCAAGAATTTTTCTCTTGAATAAAGTTAATTTTTTTTTCAGTGTATATAGGTCAGCAATTTGAATTTTTCAAAATATTCAAAAATTGGTACTATCACTGTTTCTTTGCAAAATAATTATTAAATGCGATAATTTGTACAATATTTGTAGATTGCATCTGAAAACTTAATAAATGAGTTTTAATTAGCATATCTAACCATCGGTATAGGCTAAAAATTATCTACTCTCTCTGTCTATCTAATGAAATTTTACTTTTGCATTCGTTTTATAGTAGATAATTAATTTATTAATAATTTGAAAGTTACTATTTTAATCATAATGAATATACACGGATCAAAATTGTAAGGGCTATTGATAATTTCAGATATAAAATATTTCAGGCGTTTTAACAATGTACTTTATGTACGTAAGCATATTTTTTTTTTGTATACAACCCTAGTAGTTTTTGTTTTATTTTATTCATTATTAAATCTACTTCCATTTCGGTTGCTGAATGGCCTTTTTAATATTTGAAGCAATATTAATTTTAATATTAATTATTTTTAATTAATCCAAAATATTAATAAAAAATTATTGTTAAAATTTGAGTAAAAAAAAATTTTTTTTAAATTTAATAAACAAAATAAAAATTAAAGAAAATCTGGATAGAAAAAACAAAAAAAAAATTTCATAAAAATAAATCAGCGATGAAAGACTACAACTATCTCCAAGTACGTGAAGATATTTCTCGCTTTGTATTAAATTTATCACTCGACCCTCTTAAATTTATATCTTCAATTCTCATAAACCTATTATATATGTTAACTTGTTAAATAGCCTCGCGTAAAAATGTAAAATAAAAACAAAAAAAATTTCCGTGCTATAATATAAAAATATGAATCCGTAAATAAGGTCGCGCAATTTAAATATAACAATAACATAAATAATAAGAATAATTGAAAGCTAGTGTAATTGAATCTGACTATTCAAATTACCTCTTCATAATGTCCACAATATTAAAATTATTGTAATAGACTGAGCTACGGCTCGGGGCATTCCCAGGGTTATTTAATACGTCAACTCTGTTTATATCTAACGCATCGCTTGTTCCTCTTCTTATTTACCTTGTGTTTTATTTTTTTCACAATAAAAATTTTTATTGATCGTCTAGACTTACTACCATAACATAAAAAGTTCAATTAATAGCCTTGATTCAAATGAATCTCGGAAAAATCGGCTCATTAATTGAGAAAATAAATTTGAGGATGACATAACGCAATTAGCTAAGTCGTAAAAATAATAAAAAGTAGCAGTAATAATATCTAATTGTAAATGAAAGTAATAATCTTCTTTGTACAAGAGTAAAGTCCAGAAGTTGGATCTAAGTTTCAAAGTGAGAGTATTCTTGTATTACATTATATTATTACTGTGATATGTGGTATGTACTTACGTCCAACGCCTGGGCAATCATCCCTAGCACCAGCACTAGGAATTATATTTATTATCCCACCTTGATATCGTTATATTATGTATCATGTAGCACATGTAATGCGGTTAGGCCTCTTATAAATGGAGCTGTCGACTTCCCGTACGTAAGATTTACGTCAACATTATCCTGGACAAGGTGGTTTATTTACAAAACGAGGATTGAGCTAAAATCAAACAAAAAGTTATATAAATTGATATATTAATATATATGTACGTACAATTCTGTTTTTCCGCTATAAAAAAAATTGACGTGAATTTCTAAAGCTAAGACCACTTGTCGATGATGTTCGCGTGTCGGCTTTTCTCTTCCGTGTTTTAAAATTGTTTTAGTAAATTTTATATTTATTTTTTTTTTATTAATATATATGATACTGAAATTTGCAGACGTCCGACTTTTCTTGAAATTTTTAGAAGCAATTAATTTTTATAGAAAAAAATATTTTTAAAAAATTCACACTTAGAATTTTTTAAAATTTCTATGTGTGGAATTTTTTTAATGAATTTTTTTTTTATCTATATTATTGAGAGAATAAGAAAAATTTTGTGTCCAGGATAGTAGTATGATAAAATCGGATTTTTTCAGAGGAATTTAGTTTCATTGCAAAGGTCTTGACTTGAATTTGTGCCTTTTCAAAATTTCATTTCATTCTCACCGATAGTCAATTTATTATGATAAGTATTTAGGCTGCATTCGAAAATGCTTCATCTCTCGATACATTATTAAGAAATGACCTTATATCTCGTGAACTATCGACATTTTTAAAGATATAAGCTCATCCCGATGTTTCACTCATCAAGACCTTTCATTTGAGTACCCACATGCATTTTGATATATTTTTCATATATTTATATATATTATATATATGTATATATGAAAAATATATCAAAATGCATGTGGGTAGTCAAATGAAAGCTTTTGATGAGTGTAACATCAGGATGAACTTATATCCTTAAAATATATATTATATATATGTATATATGAAAAATATATCAAAATCCATGTGGGTACTCAAATGAAAGCTCTTGATGAGTGTAACATCGGGATGAGCTTATATCTTTGAAGACGTCAATAGTTAAGAAAGTACAGTGCAATTTAACAAAAGTAATTTTTGACTGCAAGGTTGCTAGTATAATTTAATTGTTATAAAAATCTTTAAAATTTTTAGATGTTTGTTAAATTTACTATCATTATTAATATTAATTATTAATAATTTATATTATCAAAATTTTGCATAAGAAATTATTCATAAATTTGATAATTTTTTGTGACACTTGTCAAAATTAATGAGAAAAATTTTTTCCAAAAAATTATTTAAAAAAAATTGCATTTTTTTTTTTTTTTTTAATTTCTACATGTCAATTTTTTTGCCATAATTTATTTGTTAAAAAAATTATCAACTATCGGCAAAATTAATTTTTATAAAAAATAAAGTATAATTAGAAAATAATAAAAAAAAAATTGGATTTATAATTTAAAAAATAAATTTTTCTTGCATTAATTTATATGCTAAAAAAATAATCATATGTCTCATAATTCAAATATAATTTTAATAAATCAGTAAATAAATATTAATATTTAACTATTTACTTTTATAGTAGCACGTTGACCCAATAAGTTGATTATCTAATAATAAATAACACAGGGTTAAGTGCATATATACTCACTCGGTGTTCGTTGTTCCAATACTTTCTATTTAAACAATTTACGTTTAAATAATTGCATTACAATTCAACCAGCAGTATGTTATTTAAATAAAATAGCTTTCAAATTTCGCCGTCACAACTCATTGTTTTATAAAAATAATCCACATGTCAAAATAGCAATATCGAGCTTCCATGCGTGACATTAACCGCAACTATCCTCCTAAAAAAAAATAAATAAATTATTACATTGCACAATCCGAAAGTATGAGTCGGCGTTTTATTTCTTTATTCCTAAAAAAAAACGATGAAATTTTGAGATAAAATTTTTAACGAGTACGTGGCCGTTTTTTGATACCGCGATTAGGGAAAAAAAATAGCGCTCATATATCACTTTCACATTGTTCTTGCTTATGAGAAGACAATTCAAGATAAAAAAGTAAAAGTTGCCCTCTGACAAATTTATTGCACTGTTTACTATTTCCATTGCACAATTTTATATAATATAAGTTATATTAATTATTAAAAAGAATCGTTTTAATTATCTTAAACCTGGCTGGTTGCTTCACTAAATCCTTGCAAAGCTCGCTCATTGTTCTTGATTGCTTAGCCGGAAAAATGGGTGAGACAATTGCGGTGATTTAGGATAATTACAGGCGCAATAAAACGAAATGAGAATGACTTATTTAAATAGACTATTAAATAAAATATTAACTCCTATTGTGGTTGCGGTGGGTATGCAAATACTTTACTTTCTAGCATATAATACGGAAGTTGGTGGTACAGGTCGATGCTGACTCGCGAATAAGTTAAACGCGTACTTGTGCTATGTGTTACGAGAGCTATTACATCTTCAAAAGTATGCAACACTGTGTAATAGTCTCATGTAATAATGGCCTATGATTCAATCTTGTGTATCGAACCGATCAAATCACACGAAAGATTATATTATTATATATAAGCCTATTATTTACAACCATATATACTTATAAGTACCTCTGTTATTGGCTAATTGGAGAAACAGATATTAGATAAACATTCGTTCTCCTCTTTATTAATTTAACGCATAAGATGCATGAGAGTGATTATCATTTTTATATTATGGATGATTAAACAATCTTTAGAAAATTTTAATTAATACTTATTCATTTAATTTTGCTATAATTCATCTCTTAAGTTTCGTAATCTATGGATATTAATATTTTATCTTTAATTGGTACTTTTAAATTTTTAAATTACTCTAAAAAAAATCTAGTTGGTTTAAAAAAATTATTTTGACTAAAAAAAAATTTTTTTTGAAACAATTAAATTAAAAAAAATTAATTTTGATCAAAAAAGTGTTTTTTTTTTTTTTAACTAAAATAATTTTTTAAAGCTTAATTATTTTTAATTAAATTAAAAAAAAATTTTTTTTTAATCAATTACTTTAAAAAAAAAAACATTAATTGATTAAAAAAACATATTTCTTAAATAAGAAAAAAATTATCATGCCTAAAAAAAATTTTTTTTTTAAACAATTAAGTTAAAAAAAATTATTTTGATTAAAACAAACTTTTGTTTTAACTAAAATCATTTTTTAAAGTTTAATTATTTTAAATTAAATTAAAAAAAAAATTTTAATCAAATAAAATTAAATAAAAATTTTTTTTTCATTATTTAAAATTTTTTTTCTTAAATCAAATTAATTTTTCTTATTACAATAAATTTTTACAATTTAAATATTTTAATAAATAAATTTCACAATTAAATAGTCACATTAAAAATAATAAATGAGATTCTATAAGCGTCAATGTTAATGATATTCACCTAGTTTCTCGACTATAAATAAATAATACAATAATGAAAAATCAGTTGGCTAAATTGATGCTTTCTCAACAATATAATGATCAAATATCACGGCAGTAGCTCATACGCTCCAAGCAATTTAGCTAAGTAATATTATATAAAAATAACTTAACGCTTAATCATAAGCCAACAATTATATTACGGAGATTGCAGCCAGTAACTTGTCGTTCATCTGCCGTGTCGAATCTGCGGTACTTTCTCGAGAAAATATACGACCTTCTCTAGGTCGCTAATTATTCAGCTTATAAACGAGTATTTATACAATAAAATAAAATTACATAAAAAAGAAAATAATTTTATATAAGTTATTCAATATTTTAGTGACCTAATTATCAATTTTTAGTCATCTTTTACTTGACTGTATAATTCATTACCATTTAACATAATTAACAATTATTCACTCAACAATTAAAAGGCTGCACGCGATTTTTTATTCTGCAATTATTAATGTAACTTTAATTGTTCTTGGTTGAGTTTAAGGTCAGTGATATAATTAATTTCTCATTTATTATTTAAACAATTAAGTTAAAAAAAATTATTTTGATTAAAACAAACTTTTGTTTTAACTAAAATCATTTTTTAAAGTTTAATTATTTTAAATTAAATTAAAAAAAAAATTTTAATCAAATAAAAATTAAATAAAAATTTTTTTTCATTATTTAAAATTTTTTTTCTTAAATCAAATTAATTTTTCTTATTACAATAAATTTTTACAATTTAAATATTTTAATAAATAAATTTCACAATTAAATAGTCACATTAAAAATAATAAATGAGATTCTATAAGCGTCAATGTTAATGATATTCACCTAGTTTCTCGACTATAAATAAATAATACAATAATGAAAAATCAGTTGGCTAAATTGATGCTTTCTCAACAATATAATGATCAAATATCACGGCAGTAGCTCATACGCTCCAAGCAATTTAGCTAAGTAATATTATATAAAAATAACTTAACGCTTAATCATAAGCCAACAATTATATTACGGAGATTGCAGCCAGTAACTTGTCGTTCATCTGCCGTGTCGAATCTGCGGTACTTTCTCGAGAAAATATACGACCTTCTCTAGGTCGCTAATTATTCAGCTTATAAACGAGTATTTATACAATAAAATAAAATTACATAAAAAAGAAAATAATTTTATATAAGTTATTCAATATTTTAGTGACCTAATTATCAATTTTTAGTCATCTTTTACTTGACTGTATAATTCATTACCATTTAACATAATTAACAATTATTCACTCAACAATTAAAAGGCTGCACGCGATTTTTTATTCTGCAATTATTAATGTAACTTTAATTGTTCTTGGTTGAGTTTAAGGTCAGTGATATAATTAATTTCTCATTTATTATTTATGAGTATATCTAAAACATCTCTACCGTAGAATTTACAGTCATTTTTTTTTTTTTCATTAAAAATCATAACTATAATTATTTAAAATTAATTTTTTATGCTAATAAAAGTTATTTCTTCTTGTAGAAAATATTTCAAATAAAAATTATGTTTTTATTTCCTGTTTTGTCTCTAATTTTTATTGAATTAATTTTTATATTAAAAATTTTTATTCAATAAAATAATTGAATTTGGAATTTTTTTTATCTATAATTATCAATTATTTAAAATTAATTTTTTATGCCAATAAAAATTATTTCTTCTTGTAGAAAATATTTTAAATAAAAATTATTGTTTTTATTTCCTGTTTCATGCTTAATTTTAAAATAATTAATTTTTATGTTAAAAATATAAATTTTATTCAATAAAATAATTAAATTTTAGTGAATTTGAAATTTTTTTTAAACTATAATTATCAATAATTTAAAATTAATTTTTTTTTAATTATAATTATCAATTATTTAAAATTAATTTTTTATTCTAATAAAAATAATTTTTTGTTGAAAATATTTTCAATAAAAATTATGTTTTTATTTCCTGTTTCTCCCTACTTTTAATTAAATTAATTTTTATATTCAAAATAAAATTTTCCTTCAATAAAATAATTGAATTTTAGTAAATTTAGAATTTTTTTTAAATTAAAAATTTTTAAATAATTTTTTTTAATTACAGAGAAGACATGGAAAAAGTAAACATAGTATTTCACAACAACGGCACAGTATCATATCAACACAAAAAGATCTTGAACTTCGTACCGGAATTGTCTAAAGACAAGGACTTGCGAGTTTTAGTACCAAATATTCCGCTTCTCGTAAGTGCCAAAGATTAAATCAAAAAACTTCCCGTATTAATTATAAATAAATTATTTTAAAATTAACAAGTATCTTACAATTTTTAAAATTTTTATAACAATTAAATTATTATTAAAAAAAATTACACATGTAAAAATTAAAAAAAAATTATAAGTTAATTTGTTAAAAAAGTTAAAAAAATTGTAATAAAAAATTTTTAAACAATACCTTAATTTTATAAACAGACATTGACGACACAAAGTAAGAGTTTGCCAAGGTTCCTAAACTTCGGACTATCAATGTTCATAAGTGGACTGAATCAAAAGCCTTTTGTTCCTGTCACAGCACAACAATTGGTCTTCGGATATGACGATCCACTGGTGAGCATAGCGCACCGATTTTTTCCAAAAGCGCGGCGACCGATGCATCAGATGGGGCTTCTTCTTGCCGTAAGTCTCCACTGAAAATTAAATTATTAATTAAAATTGTTGTAATTCAATTATCTTTAAAATCAAACTTGTTTCTTCTTGCTACTGATTAGACTTATATTACCGTTAGTTTCTGAGCAACTAATAAAGTTTGTAATTTATTAGGTGCGAACAGATGAATTAATCACTGAGCAATTAATTGCCGTGCCAAGTAGAACATAAAAATGTTTGATTAATATTTATTACTTTTCATTAATAAAATGATTGAATTTTTTTTTTACTTGCAGAGAAATGGAACGCTGGATGAGGTGTCGACAATTTACACTGGGCATACTGATATGAAACAGTTTGGGCTTATTAATAAGTTGAACGGCCTAGATCGGCTTCCGTATTGGGAAGATGAGCCCTGTAATTCGATAACAGCTTCAGAAGGTAATTAAAAATTATTTTAAAACTTGATAAGTTATTAAAAATTTGCGTGTTCTGGCTCAAGGATAAAAGATAGGGTAAAATTGATAAGGATTTTTTCGTAGAAATCTATCTATTGCATTGGCCCTTGTGTCAGAATTCACACGGAATTTTGTCATTTTATCTCTTATATATTCGAGTAAGGCTCAAAATTTATAAATATATATATATCGACGTTCTAATTAGCAAATTGTTTAACTCCATTTTAACGAATCTTCTATTTGTACGAAAAAAACAATTAGTTAAAAATTTATTATCACTTTAAAAAACCATTTAATATCATTATTATCTAATGGAGATATAATATTTAGGTTTGAATCATTCAAATAATTTATAATTCGATTATGGCTATATCAAAATGTTAAAGAAATCACCCTCTAAAAAATAAGGAGTTAGACAAATTTCTAATTAGACCATCGATATGTAATTTAACGCGGCTTGTGAACACGATCGCGTCTACAATTTTCAACGGATTTAGATGAAACTTAGTACACACATTATTTGGACAATAACCTTGAATGATTTCGAAGATGAGCGAAATCCGTCAATTAGTTTAGAAATGGCGGCCATTTAAAATTTTCAAACTAATGAAAATCACATTTTCGGTGACTTCATTGATGTATAACTTTTAATAGAAAAGAGATAGCTAATTTTTGAAAAATTTGTGTGAAAGCTCATAAAATTACCTTCAATTAAATGTATATAACATCGACATTTTGACCATTTTTAGTTATTTTATCAAAGTTAAAAGTTATATTAAACCATTTTCAAGCAATGTGTAGTACAACCGACTTATGAATGTTATTCTATCAAGAATTCTCAACAGATCCTAACGAAACTTAGTATACAGATTCCTTGGACAATTAGCTGGCATGAGCCTTAAAATAAGCGAAATCTTTCAATTAGTTCAGAAATATAGTAGCTCTTCAAAATGATTAAAATAGTAAAAATTACGTTTTGTTAGAGCAACAAAAAATAAGTTGTGTCAACAAATTGTTATGTTGATATAGGGATAACAAATAATATGTTGTGTTAACAAACACATAGGTTATAATAAGTAATTCATATGTTCACTCAGCAAAATTATTTTGTTATTGTAACCGAATCTTTCAATTTAAAAAAAAAATAGTTTTGTTGAAGTAACAAATCGATTTGTTAAAGCGACGGAATAGCTTGTTCAAGCAACAAATTTTATTGATAAAAAAACTATTTTGTTATTCCAACAAAAAAAATTTATTATAATAACAAAGCGATTTTGTTAAGACAACAAAATTAACTTCAGAGTAGTAAAAGCTCATTTGTTATTGCAACTTAATTGATCTTGTTAAATAAACTAGTTGATTTGTTATTGTAAGTAAATTCAATTGTTATCACAGCATATTTTTTTGTTATCCCTGTTTTTGTTGTCCTAACAAATAATTTTTATGCGTGCGGTCTAATTAGCAATTGGTCTCTCCTTATTTTGTAGAGGGTGATTTTTTAACATTTTGATGTAACAATAGTTGAATTATAAATTATTTGAATGATCCAAACCGACATATTATACCTTGAATAGATATTAAATGATTTTTTAAAGTGAAAATACATTTTGAACTAATTGTTTTATCGTACAAATGGAAGATTCTCTAGGAGTTAGACAATTTGCTAATTAAAACGTCGATATATGTTAGTTTATCAAGAATTCTCAACAGATTCTAACAAAATTCGGTACACATATTTCTCGGACAAAAACATGAAAATAGTTTCTTTTCTAGTTGTTTATACTTTTTTTTTTAAGAATTCTACCTCCCATCTCGGCTGTGGCCGAATAGGCTTTTTTTGTAGAGAATTACATTTTTTATAAAAAAGATCACTTATCATTTTTTTGTACCTTCAATATTTTAGCCACAAGAAGTACTTAAAACTTTTGAAAAATTACCGATAAGTTCTATAACTTTAGTTTTGAACTTGAAATTCAAATTTTGAAGAAAGGAAGTGAGATAGGGCAATTGATAAGGATTTTTTTTATAGGAAATTTAATTCTCTATAAAAAAAAGGTCTGATGTAATTTTTTCATATTTTCAATATTTGACCCAGAATTAAAAATGATAACTTGATTATTCAAAATGTAGATAAGCCAGTTTTTTAGCTAATGTTTGTTTGTTTATCTACAGGGTCATTTTTTCCTCCTCGAGACAGCACAGGTGCAGACGTAGTCCACGTTTGGGACAAGGACCTCTGTCGAGTGCTACCTCTTCAATACCGAGGACCTGTCGAGAAGGCGGGCATAAACGCAGATCTTTATACACCCACAGACGACGTTTTTGACCCACCAAGTGTTAAAAAGCCCGACAATGAGTGCTTCTGTCCAGACGATCCAACCAGTTGTCCGCTCAAGGGCCTCCAGAACATTAGTCCTTGTCAATACAGTGAGTCATTCAATCCTTTATTTATTTATTTTCTCCAGTTCTGTTTTGCCTTCTTCTATTTAAATCTTGACCAGTTTAGGTTCATTGACCAAATTCATTTCTTCTTATTTTTCTTTTTTGCGGACTTATCCAATCAGTTTTATTTATAAACGAAACGATGAAAAAAATTTAAAGATGTTGTTTCGGTTAATAAATTCACTGGTAAGAATCATTACTGGTAAATTTATTCGTGAATAAAATCCAAATCCAGTACTTAAGTTGAAGTTTTATCCTGAAAAATATTATAAGTATAAATATTAATTTTATTAATATTGTTGTTATTTTTTAGGCGCACCAGTGTATTTATCGTTTCCTCATTTTTATAAAGCTGATCAAAAGCTTACAGATACTGTTGTAGGCTTGAAACCAGTGCCAGAGTTACATGAAACTTATTTTAAAATTCAACCTGTAAGTATTTTTATTTTAATTATTATTATTACTATTTTTATTTTAAATGAATTATCATTTTTTTTTTTACAAAAAAATATTATTATTCAATAAATTTATTTTATTCAAAATAAAAAAAAAACAAAATTATTGAATTTAATTATTATTTTTTAATAAGAATATTTTAACATTAATTTAAAAAATAAATTTATTATTATTATTAAAAAAAATAATAAAATAAAAAATCAAACTGACAAAATCATTAAATTTAATAATTATTTTAAAATTAAAATATTTTTATTTATACTAGCAAGCTTGCAGTCACTATGTGACTGCCGTGACTTGTATACTATAAATAAATAAAATTTTGTTTTATTAAATAATGACTTTTGTTAAATTACACTGTACTTTCTTAACTATTGACGTTTTTAAAGATATAAGCTCATCCCAATGTTACACTCATCAAGAGCTCTCATTTGAGTACCCACATGCATTTTGATATATTTTTCATATATACATACATATATATAATATATATATAAATATATGAAAAATTGATGTGGGTACTCAAATGAAAGGTCTCGATGAGTGTAATGTCGGAGTGAGCTTATATCTTTAAAAATGTCAGTAGTTGACAAGATACAAGGTCATTTCTTAATTATTGACATTTTTAACGATATAAGCTCATCCCGATGTTACACTCATCAAGAGCTCTCATTTGAGTACCCACATGCATTTTTGATATATTTTTCATTTATAAATATATATAATTATATAATATATATAAATATATGAAAAATTGATGTGGGTACTCAAATGAAAGGTCTTGATGAGTGTAATGTCGGGGTGAGCTAATATCTTTAAAAATGTCAGTAGTTCACGAGATACAAGGTCATTTCTTAATTATACTTTAATAATTTAGTACTAAATAAATTAATAAAAAAAATTTTTTTCCCACAGAAACTAGGAGTACCTGTCGAAGGAAAAGTGCGAGTGCAATTGAACCTAAAAGTAGAAAGACAGTCGGACATAACAGCAGTTAAGGATTTTCCGGACATAGTATTCCCGATAATGTGGATCGAGGAGGGAATCGATGAGCTAACCCCCGCAATAAGGAGGTGGATATACCTGGCGACGACCTTCGCGGACATCGCGGTGCCGTGTATAACGTACGGACTTATTCTAGTCGGTATGGTTGTTCTCAGTACGATAACGATAAAAGCGTACACCAACGTCCTTACAACGCAAGAAGCCATCGAACTCGGCAAAAAGACAATAAGAAGAGGCTCATCGTTCATCGTAAATGGGCAGCATCGCACCCTCGTCGTCAAGGATTCGTACATTTTATTGAGTCATAATTCAGAGGATGCTAGGCCTATCGTCGAAGTGTAATTTTTTTATTTAATTAGGCTTATACATATTTTTACTTCCGTTCATTATTATTATTAATTTTTATTTTATAAGAGTGTATTTTAAGTGAACTAAATGCTCATTGTGCTCAATAACTTTTATATTTTTACAAACTTCTCATTTTAAGATTAACTTTAAGACTTTCGAGTGAGTTTTTATAAAAACAATTTATTTTAGTGGTTTATTATTATTATTATTATTATTATTTTATTTTTTATTATTATTATTAATAGTATTACGATTAATATTAATACGACTAATTAATTAGTTGAATTTAAATAAGTTTTGACAAAAGCTCTCTTGTCGGATTTTTTTATTTCTACCTCTGCAATCCACGAACACTTTATTTGTTTGTGAGAATATTTAAATTGATAAATGTTGAAATAGCGTTAAAAAATAAAGCACCAATGCTTAAGCGTTTAAAGTGTGCAGAAAAAATTAAAAAAAATAAGAGGTTTTATATTTGTAATTAATTTTGATTAATATCAAGTGTTACCCGTACACAGAAAAAAAGATTCACTTGAGCCAAGAAAATATTTTTCTTCCTAATTATTTTCTTGAGCGAAAAAAAATTTTTTTTTTTTGACACAAGAAATTTCACTTATTCCAACAAAATTAATTTTCTTGCTCTAAGAAATATTTATCTTGATCCAAGAAAATTTATTTAAGTCAAGAAAATCTTTTTTTGAGAAGCCTCTTGCACTAAAAAATTTAGTTCTTGATAGAAGTTAATTTTCCTGTCTTGAGAAAATTTCTCTCTTGCTCCAAAAAATTAAATATAAAGATAGAAGTATATTTATCTTTACTTAAAAATTTTCTTGAGTCAAGAATTTTGTTCTCCAGTCAAGAAATTTTTCTTTCTGTGTATAAAAAAAGCTGAAAAATTTTTAGGAAGAAAGAATAAATATTTTTTAAAAAGAATATTTGTACTTCGGTAAAAATTTTCAGCTTTTTTTAATCGGATAATTGATGTTTTTAAATTTATGTCATTTATTCTTAAAAATTTTTTATATTTATACTGAAAATTGCATACCACAAGTGTGCTAGCATTTAACTTACCTCAGATGAATCATTTAGAATTTTTTCATTATTGAAAAGTGGTGCTGATAACAATTTTTTAACTTTAGGGGAATATTTATCTGAAAATAAAAAAAATAATATTTAAAATTGTTTACTTTTATAATTAAAAGGAAAAAACAAAAAAAAATAAAAGAAATATTTTTTTTAAAATAAAATTCATCGACTGAAAACTGAAAAAAAAAAATAAGCTAAGAATAAAATGACATTGCGTCGAAATAAAAGCTAAAAATTCAAAAAAAATAAATTAATTAACTGTTAATTTATTTATTTAACTGAAAAAATATTACTTAATTATAAAGGTGTAAAAAATAGATAGTTAAATTTTTATAAATAAATTAAAGAAAAAGCAATTAAAATTTAATAGACAATAAAATAATGAAGAGTCAATGCCAATTGTCAGCAGAAAATATTAATTAGATTTTTTTAAATATTCAGTTTGTATTTTTACACCCATAATTACTTCAAGGGCATGTGCAATCATGATAATTGAAAGTACTATATCGGGATTGTCATTGTGTCAGCGACACAATGACTTTTACTACTGAGTTTTTTACAGATCAATTGATTAATTATTTTAAATTATGGCGAGAATAATTTATTTAATATTTAATCTCTCAGCGACTCATCTAACAGCTATAAATATTTATTCATACAGATAAAATTTTTTTAATTGACATTATTGAGTGTGAAGAATATATATGATTAAAATTTAATTTATTTATAAAAATCTGATCATTAATTATAAATATTGTTAAACAATTTAATAAAAAAAATAACTAAATAAATGCTCAATTAATGAACCTTGTTTTTAATTATTTATTATTTATTGAATATATATCAATTATGTATTTCTTCTTTAATATTAAAAAGACAACTTCAAGTTAAAAAAAAATTACCAGCATGAATTTAAAAAAATTGTTGGTTAAATAAATTAAAAAATGTATAATATAATTATAAATATAAATATAAATATGCTCGAGGAGCAGATGATTATAGAAGCGATTATTGATCGTTCCTAATGCTCGGGGACCTGCGCGCTAAGTCAGTAAATTGGCGTCGACAACACAATCGTCATGGTTTATTTAGACTTTTGTATTTTTATCAAATTAGTAGTGATATTAAATTTTGCAAACAGTGAAAATTTGTTGGTCCAAACGGGAAAATTCTCAGAAGACGATGTGCAAATTTGCTTGGACAGTTTTGCGGTCCACACGGATAAAATAATACGGACCCAAGACTCACTAGCTCTCGGGGCCAAGTATCTGATGGAGGCCGAGCTGGACAGCCGACAAGATTGTTTGAAACTTTGTTGCAAGACCAACGAGTGCGATGTTTTTGTCTTTGAAGAAAAGGTTTTTATTTCTTCATTTTATTCGGAATAATTTTTTTATTCAATATTGGATTAAATAAAATCTCATTATTGTAGTTACATAGTTTTATAATATTTGATACAACTAAATTATTTATTAAAAAAACAATTAAAAGAAAATTAAAAAAAAAATCATGATTTATTAATCATGAAAAATTTTTTTATTAAAATTCTTATTGTAAGAAAAAATGAGAACATAGTTGTATGTAAATTTTTTAAATTGTTAGTTATTTTTTAAATTTGCAAGAATAAAATTTAAAAAATTCTAAGTCATAATTTAACTCAATAAGTATTTAAAAAATTTAATCAATATTTTAAAAAATTAATTAAAAATAAAAAAATTATCTGAGATTAAAATAATTGGATAATTTTTTCTAGATTTTTTTTAAATAATAATTAATAGAATGTTTTTTAAAGTTCTGATTATAAAAAAAATTTCTTCAATAGTTTAGTATGAAATTTATTAATACTAGCAACTTTGCAGTCACTATGTGACTGCTGTAACTTGTGAACTATAAATAAATAAAATTTTGCGTTATTAAATAATAACTTTAATTAAATACAATGTACTTTCTTAATTATTGACGTTTTTAAAAATATAAGCTCATCCCGATGTTACACTCATTAAAAGCTTTCATTTGAGTACCCACATGCATTTTTGATATATTTTTCATCTATACATATATATATATATAATATATATTTTAAGGATATAAGCTCATTTCGATGTTACACTCATCAAGAGCTTTCATTTAAGTACCCACATGCATTTTTGATATATTTTTCATATATTCATATATATAAATATATAAAATATATGAAAAATTGATGTGGGTACTTAAATGAAAGGTCTTGATGAGTGTAACATCGGGATGAGCTTATATCTTTAAAAATGTCAATAGTTCACAAGAATACAAGGTCATTTCTTAATTATGTATCTAGAGATAGAGGATTTTCGAATGCAGCCTAAATACTTATCATCAGAAAATGATATGAAACCAAGAAAAGGCACAAATTCAAATCAAGGCCTTTTTCAAATTTTGCTTAATTAAATAATGACTTTTGTTGAATTGCACTATACTTTCTTAAATATTGACGTTTTAAAAAAAAATTTAGATTAATTTAATAATAAAATTTTATAAAAATGACACTAGAGTAATAAATTTTTTCTTTCATTTTTTTACTTTATAAAAAATGAATTCTCCTCAATTTTTTTCTAAAGATGTCATAAAAAAAAATTTCACCAGCCTTGACCCAACTTAGTCATTGTACCAAAACAAATTATTAAAAAAAAAAAAAAACTAACAATGTAAACATTTCCCAGAAACAGGGAAGCTGTTATTTATTCCACTGCGGGCCGCCTCACGACTTCAAATGTAAATTTACCAGCCACGTAAATTACAGCAGCGCAGTGTTGACGAATCTGAACATCAGATCTCATACGCACTTGGAGGAGCAAATGCGTCATAGTCAACAGGAACACGAGCTGAAGTCCCTGAGAAAAATGGTGGAGAGACCGCTGGAATACTCGTTCACGCCAGCGTCAATAGTAGTCCAGCCAGTGACAGAAATTCCAGTGGTGATAAAACCGATCCCGACCACTTCTCGACCAATGAAGCCTGGATGCAGCCGAAACCAGTACGAGTGTCGCAGCTCCCACGAGTGCATAGCAATTTACAACGTCTGCGACGGGATTCCCCAATGTTCGGATGCCTCTGACGAGGCCAGCGACCTGGGGTGTCCGACGGAAAAACCCACGTCTCCCCCCGTCGCCGGACCGCCCAGACCACCTCCCCCGCCTCCAGAGCCTCCGGTTCCGGCCCACGAGCTCAAGTATCCTCTTCATCATAAATACCCACCTTTGTACGGGAATCCCGAGCTGGCCAAAACCTGGCACCAGGTTTATCCCCAGCAAGGTGTCCAGTATCCTCTGCCTCAAGTCCCCAACTACGGACCCGGCTATATTAACGCCTGGGACTATCGGCAGATGTACGACCAACAGACACCTTTTAACAAAGACGCTTTTCCTGTAAATCCGAAAGACAACGGTCTGATACCGCACTACGCGGAAAGGCAGCATATTTTTAATCACAAAAAACCTGGGGGTGATAATCCTGATGAAACTCCTTACCTTGATCCAGAAAGATACGATCCTTACTATCCCAGGCAGCTTCATGAGTCCTGGCAGCAACCAGCTCCTCTTCCTGATGTTCCCAAGTTAGTAGTGACGATTCCTTCCGTTGTTTTAACGAGAAAAGAGTCCCGGCAAGATGACAGACATCCTGATGCTAAAAATGATAAGGTGATTAATTTATTTTTTAATATTTAAAAATAAAAAAACTGACAGAAATTTTTTAACAATTTCTATGAAAAAAATTTAACTAACCCGTAGTGGTCACACTTCTTTAAAATAATCTAGAGGTCATACTGGGTTTAGTTGACTCCATGCACGGAAATAGTATATTACACACCGAGGGAAGTAAAGTAAGAAATGTCTCAGATCACATGTAATTGTTGGCCGAGGCGTAATTGTAGCCGAGGTCAACAAACATGTGATCTGAGGCTTTCTTATTTACTTCCCGAGGAGTGTATGCTATTTTTTTGCTCGACGAAGGCAGAAAGTGGCAATTTTGTTTAGCGCAGCGGGCCAAAATTTGACGCTTTCTGCCCGTCGAGCAAAAAAAATTGTTGCTACTTGCGTTCTTTTAAATATTTTCACTCGAGCCGTACATGAGAGTAATTCTTAACACTTCCGTTGAATAGCTCAACCGTTTTTTAATTTTTTTTTCATTATTTAAATTAAAAAAAAATGCGAGAAAGTAAAATTTCGAAAAATTTGACTTTTTTTTTACTAAAAACTTCATTTTTTAAGATAAATGAAAATGACCTCCAGGGTTCTACTCCGAATATCGCATACTTTGAAAAAAAAGTGGTGTCATATCGAGCTTTTCAAACAATAATATATGGTACCACAGATATCACGGCTGCCCAATTTCAAAACACAGTAACTAACATTTCAAAATTTTTTCCAATTTTTCTTATTAAAAAAAAAATTTTACCCGCCAAATTGATGAAAAATTTGATTTATGAACAGAAAATACTTGAATATAAATATTTAATAAAAAAAAATACTTGAAATTAAGGTCCAAGTTATATAAAAATGCAGCAATACTAAAAAAAAATCAGGTATAAAAATTTTGCAGTTACTGTGTTTTAAAATTGGGCAGCTGATTATTCATTTTGAATGATATCTTCGAAGCAAAAGCGACTCAAAAATTGCTTGGGGTCATCTAGACCCCTAATAACCACTACGGTTAAAAAAATTCCACGTGAAAATTAAAAAAAAAATTATTAGTGGAAATTTTTTCAAGTATTTTTTTGTTGTAATTGATTTAAAAAATTGGCAGATGTCAGCTGACTTAAATATTATTTTTAATTTGATTTTTTCAGACATCAGCTGAAGGAATATCAACCAAAGAGACTGTCAGCATAAAAAAAGAGTTGGAGACTGAGAAGAGTGTCAATAAAGAGGCTAAAATTTCTGGAGATAAAACTGAGCATTTGAGTGGTAAAGATAAAGATGACCTGGTGGACAATAAAAATGTACATGTTGAGAAAGCTAGTGAGAAGGTGGAGAAACATGAAGTAAGGGTTCATCACTATGCTGAGCACTTGCAGAGTCATAACAAGGATGTCAGCAATGAAATATTAAAGCCCAGAGGAGCTGTGATATCTCTGGCGCTTGGGCTGACGGTCACTGCGATAATGGTCGCTTTGTTTACGTGTAGGTTGAGGGTGCTGAGGAAAAGGGGCAAGCGGCATGGACCTTTTGCCCATGACGCTGATTATCTAGTCAATGGAATGTATCTGTAATATAATTATTTTGATGTTATATTTAATGTCTTATATTTTCTTACCTTTGATCTCATTTATGATGATAAGATTAGCAGATATTTGATAATTTTTGATTTTTTAATCAATAAAAATTGCACTATTTTTAGAAGACTATTTTTAAAAAATTGCATTTTTAATTTTTTAAAATTTCTGCTAAATTTAAATATCATGATAATTTAATTTTAATTCATAGTTTGATATTTTTGAACTCATCGGTGAGAAGTTTGAGATTGAACTTTTGAATTATTAATTTAATCTAATCTGATGAAGAAAAAAAGAACAATTCATCGCCTTGTCATTTTATTAAAAACTAGTTCTTTATTTTTCCTCTAGAGGGCACTTAAGCTTACTACTGCTAGGGAGAAAGTTTCCCGCTCCGTTTTGATAGATTTAGTTGAAACTCTGGCCGGTGGTGGCGTGACCAAGGGGCAGCAGGACCGCCACAGGAAGGTGCCACCAAAGAGTATAATTTGAAACTTTATGTTGATTTTAAGAAAACTTGTATTAATATGAGAGAGCTTTATATTTACACCAAGGTTTTATATTATGTTTTTAAATAGAGTAAATTTTATAATATATCAAATCATTTTGTAAAAGAAAGATTGCTTTTGGGAAGAGGTCGATTACCTACAGACCAATGAGTTAGATTACCGGTGACTTAGATTCCGATTACCTAGATTTCTATAACCCAGAATCCGATTACCCAAATTATCAATGACGTAGAATTCCTATGGGGTAGATTACCGATTACCTTGAATCCCGATTACTTAGAATCCGATTGCCTAGAAATTTGATTGGATATAACTCCGATTACACTGAAATCCGATTGCCTATAATCCTGATAACTTACAATCCCTATCGCATAGATTTCTTATACCTTGACAAAAAAAAGTTAATAGATGGATAGATGGCGCCATATGTAACAAAACTTTCATTTCATTATAAAATTTAAAATTATTTTTATTAAGCGACAATATAATCAGATATGTTCAATTTATATTAATAACGGGAAATATTAATTTAAATAATTCGTTTCTTTATTTTCCTTTTTAAACAATTATATTTTAATAAGATTATCGAGTAAGATTTAAATTCAGATTTTAATATAGATAATTTTTTAATCTTTCCATAAGTGATAATTTTTTAAAGTTTTTTCTTTTCATTGTAACAAATTCTTATAAGAATTAGTTATAAATTAGAGCTATTAGTTCTATTAATCATAATTTAATTTATTTTATTATTATTATTATTATTATTATTATTATTATTATTATTATTATTATTATGTTATTAAATGCTCAGGGGGGTTGTCCCCGGAGTCTGACTCTCCGAGGGCCCAGCCTGAGCTCCATCCATTACTGCTGGACCACTCCGCACAACAAGGCGGTTAGTGATCACAGCAGGCCAAAGTCATTTCTCTAAGTAGACGGAGGGAACCTAGTATCACAGCCTTCTGCATCCTGACTGCCAAGAACTCAGCTTTTGATGAGCAAGCTGGAACTCTGGCAAGTGAGGATACAAAAGACTGTTTCATCCCTCCAAGGACGCCAACAATCAGGACGACAAGCTTGACACGGTAACCTGGGTAAAGTTTGCCAATTTCAAACAGGAGATCCTGATATATTTGTCTTTTGTGCTCTTCTTTGGCTGAGATGTTGTATTCAGCCGGGGCCGAAAACTCTATGACATAAATGTCACGAGTAGCCTTATCGAAGAGCACAATATCAGGTTTGTTGTGATCTATCCGCCGGGTTGTTGCAAATGGCATGTTCCAATAGATTTTGCAATTGTCATTCTCAACAACCTGGAGAATGTCTCCTGGCAGATAAGGCAGCACTGGTGTCACGTCAATACCGTAGCAATGACGAAGATAGTAGTACAGTACTCTCAGGGCAGCATTGTGACGCTGGATATATGCACCTCTCGCCAGCACAGGGCATGCTGACAAAAGGTGCATAAGCGTCTCCGGATGTTGTTTACACGTCCTGCAGGACGTGTCCGGAAGCTGCACCTGGAGCACCTTGCTACGGTACTCTAGAGTGTTAATGACACCATCTTGGCAGGCAAATATGAACCCTTCAGTCTCGGACATCAGGCCAGCCGACTTTAAGAAAGAAAACGTCAGCTGGGTGGACAAGCCATGATCACGCACGTGTTTGAAGAACACGCTGTGCATGGACTTGTCCATTAGTTCGCCAAGGAGTAGTTTTTCCTCGGCGTTTCTGATGACGCTCTTGAATTCCTCCTTTCGAAGTTCCATAAGAGCGTTTATTTCTCCAAGACCAAGGGTTCTTGCCGCATATATTGCTGCCTTATACAAGAACGACCCTTTATGCGCATTTTCATGTTTATGTACAATTTGCATAAGAAAGTCATTCTCGTCTGCAGTGAAATTGACAACCTCGAATGTTAAACCCAGGACCAAACGATCGTGAAGCCTTTCCAAACTCTGCAATCCTCTTCCACCGATTGACCGGGACAGGTATAATCTGGCGACAGAAGAATTGGGGTGCAT